TCCCTTTCTTCTCCTACCAACCTCAGACCAAGAGTCACTCTCGGCGTAAAGAGACGCTTTAAACGGCCCATGAAGGCGAAAAAATACCACACGAGTCGATTAGCATTTCATTTAACTTTTTTTGGAGATATTAAGACCGAGATGTATTTTAGATACGCAATTTTCAGAGCTTTATTCATAACCCTCACAGATTTTGTTCCTTCCACGTCAACGAACACAGTGTGGTCTGCTTGTGAGAAGAAAAAAAAAAACAAGAAAACATAGACGATATTCGTGGGTTTATTATGCTAAAAAAAAATAGGAAATGAGAAAAATCTGTAACTGATGGAAGTGCTTTTACTGAAAGAAAAACGAGGCAAGAGAAGTTAGTTTCATTCCAAGAGCAAGAACTGAGTTTGCTTTTGAGAATTTTTTTTTTTAAACGTAACTAAAACATACCTTTTTTTTTTGTTTGTCAGATGAAAAACAAACACCTGTCGGTTGGCTTTCTTTCCCAGGGTTCGAAATAAACAGTTAGTTATTCTTGATTCTTATTACGTTGTTAGAGCGAAATCTTTTTGAATCATAATAAATCCCCTCTTGACCAAGCTCGTTCGATCAAGGCGACTTTATATCAGCCTCGTTCTTTTTTTTGTTTTATGGATCTCGACTTCGTTTCATTCAATAGAAACGCGAAAAGAACTCAGGTCAATATGCAACCATCCTGACCTTAGTCCCCCCTCACGCTTGGTCAATAACATACATGTATTTTCGCGCCAAATAAAGGCTATTATTTATTTAATCCCGAGCCGTATTTAGCCCGCACATATACATGTACACATCATCAACCTATTTCAGTTACCTAGCGACGGTAAACGATCAAACATGGCGAACCATAAGGTTCCAAGGTTCTCAACTTGGCATAGAGAAACATACGTTGATCCGATAAATATGCCTGCAAATAGATACTTTACACCACACTTTATGCCGTATAGAGATAGTCAACGATATGGAGAAGGAAGAGAAAAATGGTTTCAAGACTACAGGCGTTCGTACGTGGCTGAGAGAACCTTGGTAAAGAACTTAAATACGCTTGGTTCCCCCTACCGACCCACAAGCTTATCCGATAAGCCTGACCGTGTATTAGGGACTCGGTGCCTGCGAAGAGAAGCTGTTTTGAACAAACCGCATCATCACCTCACCAACAGAATTCCTGACCGCGAGAGAGACCGCGCTCAAATCGACGACTTAGTCTTTCAGCATCGTCAACAGTATAGAGACCAAAGTGGTACGTTGTTCGACCAAAAAGTAGCTTATTTTCACAATCCCACCACAGCCGAAGAGCAGTTTTTGCCCAAAGTGAATCCTCCGAAAGATACCATCGGCAGTTATCCGAATAACACTAAAGCTGCTCTGGAATACACGTATGACTTGGAGAGAGGGCCTAAAGAATATGAACTTTGGCACAAGGTGTAAGTTTTCTAGATGTTCACAAAAACATGCTACTATAACCTAGTACTAAACACCGCGATTTGTCTCACAGAAATCGCATTGTGTGTAAGGAATAGTAGCCTAAAATCTGTTGTTTTAGAAGTTGTGAATTATCCAGTTTGACTGAAATATGTAGGAAAGCACCAACGAAGTTCTGTATGTTCGCTTGTACCGTTAATAACAGATTGATTTTACTCCCTTGGATTTATGGCGAAAAGCCGTAAATCAGGGGGAGGGGAACAAAGATCCGTCACTTGTAGTACATATCAAGAAGACAAAGTTTGTAAGATATTTATTCTATCTCTATATTGTGTCTGACGAGTTCCATGTAAAATAAGATTCCAAGTCATGATCATTCGAAAAACTAAGGCATGTCAATTGAAGCAAAATAAGTCTATTGAAATTGTTTTTCAGTTAATTTAAACTCTTGTGAATCCAATAAAATTCAAGAAAAATGGCAAATAAGTATCAATTAAATTTAAAGCTAAAAGACTGCTTGCTGAACTGATCAGTCACAGCATCAATGTCCACCTTTTCCTTCCCTTTGCATCGGGAACACTAGTGGTTTGTCAGTCATATCAGTGTGACTGTGTTAAAAAAAGATGTTAGTATTCATGCAAGTATTTGATTGAGCCTGACTAATACTTCACCTAAAAGTCCTTTTGGCAGGCTCTAGTCTTTCTATTGCACTGATTTTTTTTCAGAATGGAAGTTGTTTGCCCACAACAGTAGTTCATTTACTTGGTCTGCATTTTAAAATATCTCCAGTATGAAATTGTATGTCTCAAAAGTTATGCAAACTGTTTGGTCAAATGAAATGAAACTTATCTTTTCTTTTTTTTAAGATGAAATGGCATGATATCTAATTTGTGCTAAATCTAGAGGAGAACCCCTTTTATGTTACAATGAGCTGATTGCACTCAATCAGATAAATTGTCAAAGTTTTAATATTATCATTTCTCCCTCAGTGTTGGCAGGGTTACATGAAAGTTTTTTCCTTTTGGTAGCCCTGTCTCCCACACATTTTGTTTGGTTTTCTTTTATGATATATTGGAGGAAAAATGCATAGATGACCTCATCATTAAAAACATCTCTCTTTTTTATCATATGAAATAAATGGATTCCATGTTGCCAAGGGTCTGTGCAGTGTAAGGTTACAGAAAACATCAAAATGTGGTGAGAACATCAGTGACACACTCGGCTGTGCCTTGTGTGCAACCTTTTTGTTGTTACCACATTTTTACCTCATCTGTTATTGGTTACCAAACAGACACACAGCAACATGGATTGAGAGTGCAGTAAGAGAATTTTAACTGAAAACACAGGTCATATTTTCTTTAAAAAACAAATTAAGTGTAATCACACTTAATAGTTGCGTAGAGGTCATCTCTTTTTAATTTGAATTTTTTTACTTATTCAATTCCTTTTGAGGTCTTGTAATAGAAGAGAAGATTATGAAGAGGACTTAAATTGAAGGGTTGCATCTTGCAACAGTTATTTTGCAATATTATTTTATTAAGTGAGAGAATCACATCCATTCTAATTGCAGAAATGCCATTTATCTTCCTAATAAAATTGGAACATTTTTCCTATCTTCCATTAAGGGCATCTCTGAAAGAAGGTTAGTTTGGCATTTGTAGGAGAAATATCTCTCAGTGTAAGGGAGTCTAAGGAACATGAAGCTCAACAATGAACTCTTCTCCCTTCTTAACCCTTCACACCCTACCATCAGTATTCATATTCTCCATACTGTTCTCTATACATTTCCAAAGGTGCTGTCAAGGAGAATTTGTTTACCAATCAAGAGCCTCTCTAGTTGGTGATCATTTTCTTTATTCTCATGACCTTTACATTTGATTCAAGAGTGACAATGAAAGGAGAAATTTGAAGTCAATCACTCTCAAAGGTTAAAGGGTTAAGTGGTAGTTTAGTATAGAGCAGACCAAGTATAAGGAGATACCTACCCTCAGAAACATGGTCTTAACATCTTAAGGTGTAACAGTAATAGCAGAAGACATAGCCATTTTTGATGCAGAGACAAATCTATGTTTTTTAATCCAGAACAGTCTATTCATTTCTTTAATTTGCTTACAGCAGAGTAATCTGGTGAAATATATTAGGATCCATTTTTGTATAAAGCAAGTTGTAAAAATTGTCAATGTCAATTTCAATCAATGGGTTTGCAGTGCTGTGCCACAGTGCTAAATTCTTGTTTCCTGGCTAGATAACCTTCTGAGTTTATGTCACTTGAGCTGAGTTTGAGCTGAAAGAAAATACAAAGTTTCAAAAAAAATTGCTGACAAAGTGGCTAAAAAATCCGTATTTTGAAGAAAAATTAATCAAGCGAAATATCTTATTGTTCGATTCGTATCGCTTGCGACGATATGGAAAGAAAATATTTCTGTATATGATTGGCATGTTTGGCTGATTGGTAGGAATCTGTTGTACTGTCCTGCACGCGAACAAGGCGTCAAACCGGGTGCTTGAAGTCTTGCATAACCCAGAATAATCAGAGTCTAATGAACAAGTCAAGAAAATTTGAGGATTTTTTTACCTTTATCAGGAAAATGTCTTCTTTCCCTGTGTTTTTCTGGAGAACTTTTGAAGTCCAGCCTGCTTGCTTGGTGTTGATTTGAATCACCTTTGAACACGCTACTTGCAAACGCATTTGTGTTGTGTTTCCTGTTTGCTCGCAGCCAGTCTTGCTTGGAGTTGAGTTCGACGGTGCACCAAGATTCTATATTCATGACCTCTTTTTTCCCTTTTCTTAGTTTCTAACTACTTTGTTGCTGTCGGTGAGAACCTCCTTCAAGACTGAGAACCACACACACCAGAAATCGTTTCCATGGAAATAACGCCCAGTGTGGAATCTTCTGGGAAGGCTTGGTGTCAAAGCAGAAGGCCTGGTAGATTTCTGCTCACAAACACGAGGAGAGAAAATGGTATCAATCAAGATATATATGGCATTCCGTTTCATGCTGTTTTGCTACTGAACTTCTTCGATTACCTGTTTCCTGCTATAACTTTCAATTATTTGCAGGAGATTCTTTTTTACTATTATTTTGAAAAGGATGTATGCGATTTATAAACAAACGCACCCTCCGACAGGGATCGAACACTGCGTCTACTGTCAATTCTTTTCGCCAGCTGAAAACAATCTTGTTGTGGCGGGGACATCACAGCTTCGTATCTACAAGTTTTATACCCAAGATGAGGTAGGAGACGGGCTCGGGAATCGTTTAGAGGGGACTTCAGTTGTTGTATTATTGAAAATATCTTGCTCGATTATTAGGTGTAGACATAAATACTCTATTCTCTGCAAGCGAAATTCCCTAGGCAATTCAATTATTTCCGACGTCTCTTTTTTCCTGGTGGTTAAAGTTCTTCTCATGCTGTCACGTTGGTACCTAGAAAAGGAAATATTGTTTAAGTAGTCAAATCAAATTATGTATATCAAATTTCAAAACAAAATGATCTGAGGTAAACAAACAATATGGCGGCTGAGGGGCTGGCGAAGGGAATTGACCACTGTAGGTAAATGAAACAGCTGTTTTCTCATGCTTAATTTATATGCCTTGTTATCAATTCCTTGGGTCTCCATCTTGTGTTTAACTATTTAGTAATGTTCACATGGCCTTTGGTAATTAATTACAATTAAACTTTCTTTGGTCTATGATGTCTTCCTTTTAGCATAATTCAACAGGACCAGCATCATCAGACAAGACAGGAGGTCAGTATT